GCCCCGGAGCCCGCCGAGTGCGTGGAGTTCACCGCCGAGCCGGCCGCCATGCGCGAGATCGTGGTGGCCATGACGGCGGTGGGCGGCTCCATCTGCGTCATGCTGGTGGTCATCTGCCTGCTGGTGGCCTACATCACCGAGAACCTCATGCACCCCGCGCCGCGGCGCCCCGGCCTGCGCAGGCAGGCCTGAAGCGCACGCCCGGGCGCAGAGGGGCAGGGCCCGGCGCGCACCCTGGTTTTCCTCATCCCGCCCCTTCCTGGAGGACCCGGCGGACCTGATGGAGTTGCGTGGGGGGCCGGCTGGCCCGCGCGGGGACCTCGGCAAGAGTCCTGAGACCTATCTGGCCAGGCCCCTGCCTCCCAGACTCGGGCTGCGCACTGGCCCTCGGGGCTGGGCTGGCGTGCCAGCCGAGTCCGGGCGCTCTCCGCTCTCCAGATGCCTTTTAGGGGTGGCCAGGACCCGCAACTCCTTTCAGCGAGAGCCACTGGCACCTGATCATCTCCTTGAACTGTGCCTGTGCCAAGTTGTCAGAAGACGGACCATGGTCATCGCTTGGTCACTTTGTGCTTTGCAGGTTGGGGGATGGACCCTTGGAGCCTGTCTTCCTCCCCGCCCTACCCAGTGGGCTTAGGTTAGCTTTGTGCCTTAGTACCTCCGGCCGCTGCAGGAGCCACCCACCACCCCTCTGGCATCCGAGGGGCTCTGTGCCAAGATGGGGCCTGTGCATGATCTGACCGATCCCCCCAGGGCCCTCCCTCTTCCAGCTTTGTAGGAGCCAGGGGCAAGGGTCAGCAGGCCCGTGTGTCTTCCGTGGGGCGGACCAGCCAAGAGCCATGACTTATCCCGGCAGCCCGGCCCCAAAGTCCAGCTGCTGCGTCCAGCGGTGAGTGCCCCCCAACTTGGGGAGGCCGGCTCCCTCCTTCCTTTTGGGTTTTCTGCCTCGGTGGGGATCTCTGTGGGAAAGGGGGGCAAATGGTTAGGAGGACAGCACTGGATCCATCTATGGTCTGTTTCCCAAGCCTCCACCAACCCAGGAGCCTCAGTGGCCACAGCGTGACCGGCTGCACTATCCCCACCCTCGCCCCCAACACTTGGGTTGGGAGCCCAAGATCTGACCCCTGCCGTGCTGCTGCCCAGCCACCATGGACAGAGGCTGACCCTGCCTGCTGCCTGGCAGGCCTGAGGCCTGGTGATGTTGGACACTGGGAGCGGTGTGGCCCTGCCCAGCTCCCCAGGAGCCCTGGGCTACCACCTGGACTTCATACTGGCACGTCCAGGTCCCTGTGGCTAATACCCCACACCTCAAAGCCCTGAGCCCTGGCTCATGCCCCTGAAGCACCCACACCCTACCTCTGTCTTCACTCTGCCCACTCCTCCTGAGGTGCTGGTCAGGTGCAGACCTGGCACCCATGTCTAAATGTCCATCATTCCCAGACCAGAAACGGTCTCGTGTGTTTATTTGGGACATGGGCGAGAAGGCTGTGGGTGAGCGAAGACCCCACGCCCCTGTGGATGGCCCTGGCGGAGGCCAGGCAAGAACCACAGGACACTGTCCTTGCAGTCCTGGAAGACAGGCGGTGCCCCCAGCGTGTCCCTCCATCCTGACCTTGGGAAACGTCTCTTTCTGGGCTGGTGGGGGTGGGAGCTGGTTCCTGATGCAGTTGGAAATAGCTCCATCTGACAGTGACCCACTTGGCTTGTGACAGGTAGCAATTAGGGGCCTGGGAGGGGGCTTTTCCTGGCTGCAGTGGAGGAGGTGGGCAGAGTTTGAGCCTGGGCTTCTGAAGGTGTCTTCTCTGAACCGCTGCCCCTCATCGCCCTGGATCCCACTTGGGCCTCTGCCCACCCAGGCCGCCCTTGAGACACCCTGGAGACAATGACCTGAGGCTGCAGCACACAGGACAGGCAGAGCCAGCCGGGACAGTGACTCATCCCGAGGAGTGGGGGCGTGGTGACGTGTGCAACAGCCGGGGCGGGCGGGCGGGAGGGTTCTGGGTCCCCAGCTGTGGGAGGAGGGCACAGGCTACCTGTGCCATGTGTTCAGCAGCACCTCACTCTTCCAGGGGAGAAGTGGGGGCCCCCAGTGCAAGGCACTCCAGCACCAGTGTTTAGCTCCCGAGCACATGGGGTTCCATGGCAAGTCCATGTGACCCCTTCAGCAGCAGATCCTCCTGGGCCATCAGCTAATCCAGAGGGGCTTCTCAGAACCAGAGTCTGCTTGGAGTTTGAAGCGGCCCAGCCCCTCAAAGAAAAGCAAGTAAGCCTTGGTGGGGGGTACCTCACGGTCATTCCCACAAGCCACTCCCTCTCAGGTGGCCCTCCAGTGCTGGCCCCTCCCCAACCTGGGTGACCTCTGAGCCTCACCCACAAACCTTCAGCTCCACCACTTGGAATCGTCCTCCCTCTCACTGGCTCACCCTGTCCGTATGTCCTCTCTGTCCCTGTCCCTCCCCACTGCTCTAGGTCTGCTGTAGACCATGGCGTCTGCTGTCCCTGGACAGCTCGTGTCATGAGGTCCCAGCCTGGTGGAGATGGCTGACCTCTCACGCTCCTATGGCACCGCCTGGCTTCCTTCTGCCCTAGAGGTGGCGTCCAGAGGCTCAGGAGCCACGAGGCTGGCCTGGGCTGAGCTGGGTCACAGCTCAATGGCAGAGTGCTCAGCCGCACACACAGGCTCTGGGTTCGATCCCAGCACCACATACCCACTTACACCTACATTCATACACACCACACAACCATTCAGGGCCTCTGTTTCCTCATGTAAAATGAACACCAGCAGGAGCCAGCATGCAGGCCAGCCAGGTGGAGAGGAATCAGTCGTAGCTGTCACTGTTTTCACCACAATCCCTCAGGGGCATCTAACCCTTTCCATTTCCAAAGCAGAGTCCTGACCTCCCTGCCCAGCCTCAAACCTGATCACTGCCTTAGGCAGCCATGACAGGCGTCTGTTCTCTGCATGTGAGCAGGAGCCCCACGTGCCCTGCACTGGGCTTCACAGGGACACGATACAGGGACACAGGGCTCCCTCCTGAACTGCCCTGCGTTCCGATGTCCAGATGTCCCCATGTCTATGAAGCCACAGTTCCCAGGGTGCAGGACATCCCCATGCCCTTCCAGAGAACACAAGTCCACTTCAGAGCAAACCCGTGTGGTTACTCATCGGCAAACAAACACCGAAGTGTCACCTGGGATTTGGAGGCAGATTTATTTGTATCATTGGGCTTGTACAGATTCATTCTCAAAGTGTCAGGTGCCAGTCTCTGGTAGTCTAGGGCTTATACAGGGCTTGCAAGTGGGAAGTACAGAGTATTTGGTGATTATTGACTGATTACATCTTAGGTTATAACTGGTGAGCTTAAGGGAAAACTACATCATATACACTGCATACTAAGGCAAGTTCAAACTCCGGGCAAGCTTGGAGCTTGGGGAGGCAAGTGCTTGAGATAGCATACTCGGTAAGGTCAGTTAGAGAGGGGAAATACGCACCTGGCGTTGCTGGAAGACAGCTCTGCTAGCTGCTCTGAAGTTTAATTCTGAAACTTTTCCTGTTCGTTTCCCATCACGGTGGGTATCAAGCTTGTGGCGGGGGTGACAGAAACAGCGTACAGGTGTTCTTGGTCCTGGGCACTGAACCAAGGACTTTCACCCGCACTCTTTCTACTCACTTATTGAGACAGGGCCAGGCCGGGGATATAGCTCAGCGCCCCAAGTGCTTGCCTGGCAAGCACAAGGTCCTGAGTTCGATTGCCAGTACCAAAAAAAAAAAAAAAAAAAAGAGATGGGGTCAACTAAGTCACTAAATTGACCAGGCTGAGTTTGAATTTGTCTCAGCCTCCCACAGCGCTGGGACTACAGATGTGTGCCACTGCTGCCCCCCATTTGCATTTTAATTTTTTTTGTTGTTTTTCTGGTACCGGGAATTGAACTCACGACCTTGCGCTTGCCAGCCAGGCACTGTGCCACTGAGCTAGATCCCCAGCCCCCATTTGCATTTTAAATTTTAATGAAGCCAGCTGGGCCTGGTGCACACTCCTGTAATCCCAGCACTTGGGAGGGTGAGGCAGGAGGACTGTAAGTTTCAGGACAGAGTGGGCTACACAGCAAGACCCTGCCTCAAAAAAAAAAAAAAAAGAAACCTAAATTTAAATAAATAGCCACAGCCAGGAGCAGTGGTCCATACCTATAATCCCACTACTCTGGTGGCAGGAAGATGAACAGTTTGAGCCCAGCCTCAGCAATTCAGTGATTTAGTGACACTCAAATCTCAAAAAAAGAAAGGGGTGGTGGGAGTGTACCTCAGTGCAAATCCCCAATGCTGAAAAAAAAGTCTTAGGCCCAACATGACAGCACGTGCCGGAAAGCCCAGCATTCAGGAGGCTGAGGCAGGAGGACTGTAAATTCAAGGCCAGCAGAGAGACCCTGGCTCAAAAAAAATTCTTAATTTTGATAGCATCAGACTATACTTTTTCTTCATATTTTATGCATTTTTGGTTTTAGGAATTGACACAATGGTGCAGGTGTGGGAGAGCACACCTATAACCGTGGCACTTGGGAGCCTGAGGCAGGAGGATCACCTCTGAGTTTGAGGCTAGCGTGGGCTATATGGTGAGAGTTCAAGGCCAGCCTGAACTGCACAATGAAAGCGTGTCTCAAAAAAGACCAAAAAAATTAACGACTTAAAACTTAGATTTTTTTTTTTTTTTTCAGTACTGGGGATCAAACTCACAACCTTGTGCTTGCCAAGCAGGTGCTTATGCCACTGAGCTATATCCCCAGCCCCTTAAACTTAGATCTTAAAAAGTAAATAAATTTAGGTCTTTCATCTCTGTAGAGTCCACCTTTGTTGTTGTTGTTATTATTATTATTATTATTTTTGGTACCGGATTTGAACTCAGGACCTTGCACTTGCCAGGCAGGCACTTGTGCTGCTGAGTTATATGCCTGGCCTTTCATCCCTTTTTAAATTATTATTATTTTTAGAGTCCACCTTTGAATGCAATGTGAAGTGGAGATTTTCATAATCTGAGTTTTTTGACACAAGTTTTCACTATGTAGTTCAGGCTAGCTTTGAACTCACTATGTGGCCCGGGCTGGTTTTGAACTCATCGGGATCCTCCTGGCTCAGCCTCCCAAGTGCTGGGATTATAGGCGTGTGCCCCACATCCTGCTTCATAATCTGATTTTGTTTTTAATTAAAGTGTTGTCATATACAAATTTGTGCTGATGTTATCCTTTTCCCACTTTAACCCTTCTAATAAGTTGACAAAAAGCAGCACTATCAATCACACAGAAAACAGTAGTTGCCAGGTGTGGTGGTGCAGACCTGTAATCCCAGCATTCAGGAGACTGAGGCAGGAGGATTATAGCAACTTCAAGACCAGCATGGGCTACAAAGTGAGCTCAAGGCCAGACTGAACTGCATAGCAAGACCCTGTCTAAAACAGACAAAAAAATAAATAAATAAAAAATAAAACAGTAGTTTCAGTCTTGTGGTGCTTTGTTTGGGGGGTGTTGAGACAGAGTCTCAGTGTGTAATGCAGGCTGCCCATAAACTCACTTTTTTTTGTCTTTTTGAGACAGAGTCTCGCTATGCATTTCAGGCTGGCCTTGAACTTATTTTATAGCCGAGGCTGGCCTCAAACTTGCAATGACCCTCCTGCCTCAGCCTCCCGAATGCTGGGATTACAGGCGTGTGCCACCACGCCCAGCCCGTAAACTCACTTATGTAGCCCAGGCTGGCCTGGAACTTTCAAGGATCCTCCTGCCTTGGCCTCCTGAGTGCTGGGATTACAGGTGTGTGCTACCATGGCTGGCTCAGTTTTGTGTTTTAAAATAGCTGTTTAAAGCTGGGTGTGGTGGCACACACCTATAATCCCAGCACTTGGGAGCCTGAGGCAGGAGTATCACTGCTGGTTTGAGGCCAGCCTCAACTACAAAATAAGTTCAAGGCCAGCCTGAAATGCATAGTGAGACCCTGTCTCAAAAGGACAGAAATAAAATATCTATTTACACAGATAGAAGTTTAGTGGGTAATTCATTCAGTCCTGTTCCTTCACAAGTCTTAAGCAAATAGGTGATTTTGGGTTTTAGTTGTTCAACCTATTAACGAATCACATTAAAGGAGTGGAGCAGACCAGTGCTAGGCCTCCCAGCAAACAGCCAGCTTTCGTCCAGAGGACCTAAAACGCAAGGACCAGTAGCAGGTGACAGGCAGGAGCCGCACTCGATAACCCTGGCGAAGACATTCCAGATGTACTTGTTAGTGATGAAATAAACATTATCCAGCCTGGCCAGGCATGGTAGCACACGCCTGTAATCCCAGCACTTGGGAGGCTGAGGCAGGAGATTGTGAGTTCAAGACCAGCCTGGGCTACAAAGTGAGCTCAACGCTAGCCTGAACTGCATAGTGAGACCCTGTCTCAAAAAGCCAAACAAACAAACA